TCGGCTCCCGGGGCTCCGCTCGCCTGGGCTCGGTATTTTCCAGGCTGCGGAGGTAAAGCTGACGGAGCTCGCAGCCTCGCCCCGCCCCGCCCCGCAGGGTCCTAGCGTCCGCCCCCGCGCGCCCCGAGAGGGGACCTGGCCCCGGAGGAGCCAGTCCGCAGGCAGGGATTGGGGACCGGGTGAAGAGTGGCCAAGGTAGAATGGGCTCTGACAGGAAGGACGACTAGGTGCTAGAAGAAGGATTCTGGAAGTTAATTGTGAGCCCCTTCTCTCCACCCTCCTCCCATTCCCACAGGTACACATCTCTGCAACAACCTATTTACTCACTGGCACGCTGTCCCCAAAACAACCCAGAAACACCCCCACACAACGCCGCAGAGATCCAAAGATAGGCGCACACCTCCACGACAATCGAGAGATTAATTCGCAGGGACGACAGCCCCACAGCAAATCAGAGATGCCCACAGCTTGTATCCCCACCAACCTAGAGGCACACCAAGCCTAGGCAACCCAATTCCCGGTGGGCCGTGCAAACCCAGCCGGAAGTTGATCCAACCCACAAGGCTCAAGGTTCACAAGCTGGCCAGACTTGGGCAAACTCTCAACTCCAGTCTCTCTCCCACCTGGCAGCTTTAACCAGGACCTCTCTGAGCCCCTTGTCCACCAGCACCCCTCCTCAGCACACGCGTTTGCACATGCACACATACACACACACACACGCCTCCCATGGACTGGACCAGACTGCCTGCCGAGAGAATCTGGCCCCAGAGGTCTTGGGGCTCCCCTGTCCCTCCCCAGGCAGAGCTGCCCAGAGCTTTATAGCCTCAGAGGAGATATGTCTGTCAGCACTCCAGCCACCTTTTCCAGCCTGGGAGGCTGCACCTGCTCCTGGGTCCTAGTGCCAGCTCTGCCCCTATCTACTCCATGTGAACTGAGACCCCATAGCTCAACTTCTGAGGCCAGGCGCAGTATGAGTGTGGCAGCCTGTCCCCAAAGCTGAGCATTTACTCGCCGCAGTAACTGGCCCTGGACTGCAGAGGGGCAGGGAGAGCCTGTGGTGAGCTCCTGCGGTTGGGCAGCTAACAGGGTCCAACCAGTGCCCAACAAGAGCTCACTTGCCCAGTGTCAGAGTGACTCCATGGCCATCCTGACCAGAGCCCAAGTCTCAGCCTCCTCACACTCTAGGGTTCCTTTCTCTGCCCTGGCTGCCCCAGCCTCGCTGGGCCTTAGTTTTCCATCTACAGAAGGAGGAAATAAGAATGTATAACCCTACAGCACCTCCTAGCCTCATCATCCTAGAACTCTGGGATGGAACAGCTTTTTTATTTTTATTTTATTTATTTATTTTTTTTTTCCTTTTTGTCTTTTTTCGTGTCCGGCAACGGATCGCAACCCTCGCATGTAGCAGTGCGCCACCGGGCCGGCCCCGGAACAGCTTTTTTTAAAGGGGCTAAGAGGAAAAAAAAAGAGGAGTTGTCACAGCAGGTTCACAAATAGAGGTGTTTCTTCCTGAAGTGCTTAGGGCTCCAAATGTTTGTAAATCAGGCTCAGTGTTAAAAATGAGTGGGGGTGAGAAGGGAGCCTGGATGGCAAGTAACCTCAAAGGGCATTATAAAAAGTGACTTCTGTAAAATGAGTTGTAGGTCCCCATGAGGCCTGTGTTGTTTAGCTCTCTAGGCCTTCCTCCTGCAGCGTGGGAGGTATAATCAGATAATCACCCTACCCCTTCTAATCCGCACTCTTGAAAAAGTGTATGGGAATGAGTGGGTGACTGGGGGCTGACTTGGGGGCTCGGGATGCCAAGGCTCTGACTCTCTGCTACCTATCTGCCTCCTCTGCCTCTAGCCCAGCTCTAGGCATGTCACTGCCCCACCCCAGGCTTCAGTGGCTGTATCTGACACTCTTCCTCCTGGGCTGGTGGGAGACCAATAAGGCACCCAGCAGAGCCAAAGCCTGCTTTGTGAGCTGTAGCGTCTGGGATCTGCCATGAGGAAAAGAGATGGCAGCACTGGCCTGCTGGCTCCTGCCTTTTTAGGGCCCCAATAACACACTTCTCAGCAGACAGCAGGCACCAGGGCAGTAAATCTCTCATGCTCACCACCAAGTCCAGGGTAAAAGAAATTGGGCTGAGGTGACAGCAGGAGGCAGCAGTAAGGGCAGACTGGCAGAAGGACTTCTCCAGAAGTTCCCTCCAAAAGCAGCTTCTCCAGAGCTGCCAGTCTGAGGAATAGAGAGAAACCAAAGATGGCAGGAACAAAACCATCACTCAGATCCACACACAGATTTACCAAGAATGAATCTTCTGGGTCTGGGGTCAGTAAAAGTGGGTGACGTGGCACCCCTGGGCTCAGGCAGCCATACCTTGGGCTCATCCCTGGGTCCTGGGTTCAGCAGGTGGGCAGAAGAGCATCACCCCATCCCACTCATCATTAATTTGCCCTTGCAAGTACCCACCCCCACCCGCCCACCCCAGGAATTTAGGTGTCTCTAGCTCTGGGGCTCATGATGGCCTCTCAAAGTTGACAAAGCAGATTCATATCTTGTCTCAAAACACCCCTGAGCAGCAGAGAGAAGGGCACAGTTGGCTCCAGGGCAGAAGAGTGAGCCCAAGAGGGCTTGAAGGGGCTCTGAGGAAGAAGTCTTGAGTTGCTTCCCACAGCCTGGAAGTGCAAAGGGTCTGTGGACCTGGGTTCAAATCCTGGCTCCACCATTTGTTTCCTAGCTGTGTGACCAAAAGCAGGTGACATGCCTTCTCTGAGCCTCAATTTCCTCATCTGGAATAATACCTACCCTCTGAGAATTATTGAGATGAAAAGAGTTGTATATGTGCCAGTTTCACCCACAGATAAATAACCAAAAATAAAACTGGGGAGCAAGGGGGCACAGGGAGGAATACATTGTCTAAAAATTCAGGGTTCCAACACAAAGCGTTAAGGTAACATCTTGGTATGGTGGTTGGTAAGAGTCTCACAAAAGATCAAATAGTGGAAAAGGTCAGCAAAGCATGACCCCTGCCCTGCCCACAGCAGTCCCTGCTCCAGACTCAGTCCCCTCCACAGGAGGTGGATGAAGGGGCCTTTCTGAGCCCCCAGGGCAGAGCCCAGGTCTGGCTCCTCTTGGGTCCCAGCTCCAGAATGGGGCATCACTGAGCAAGAGCCAGAGTGGGTGCAGAAGGTGAGAGCGTGCACAAGAGGGAGAGGGTGCTTAGGAAACTGAGAAGTATCCTGGGAATGTGGGCATCATTACCCAAGTCACTGAGCAAGCCTGGGTCTTACACGTGCCCCTTGCAGAGAGAATAACTATGGCTGTGGGAGGCATGGGGGTGCTCATCCGGAGACCTCTAGTACCTTAGACTGTGAATATAGGACGGGGGCAAAGAGTCGCTTGGAGAGATTCACACCAGACTTTGTTCACTGCCCCCGACCAGCCGTTGAAGCAGGGGTCAGGGCATCTGCCTGGAGCTAACCCATGATGTGATCCCTAACCCTCCCCTCAGCTCCCCGCTCAGAATTTAAGACCCTCAGACTAACACCATCTCGCCCCACCTCCTCACTGTACATATGGAGAAACAAAGGCCCAGCTAGCAGGAATAAAGCAGAAATAAGAACCCAAGTCTCCCAGCTCCTAACCTAAGGTTCCTGCCCCCTATTACATACCACCCTTTCCACTTGCCTGTGGATGACCTTGGCACCATCACTGCCCTCTCTCAGCCTCAAGACTCAGCATCCCCCCTAGTGCCCCCACCCTGCCCAGTGTCCTGCACAACGAGCGGCCCAATACTCTTGGCTTGCTCCTAGACGCCCGCCCGTACTCACCATCTAGTTAGACAGACGATGGCTGTCTCGATCTCCCTCTAGGAGATAAGGCCCCCCAAGGCCCCTTCTCCCCACTCCCACACACCTGTCTCAGGGGTAACCTTGCCCGTCAGTTTGGGTGGAACAAATTCCCAGGTTGTCCAGGGCAATGAGGCAGTGTCCTGGGGCACTGTTCTAGAAGATTAGACAGCAACCTGTGTGATGTCACCAGGAAGCAGCAGAGTGGAGGGGTGGTTCCAGAGGCCCTGGGGAAGGCCCAGGACAGAGCACCTTGAGGCCCCCAGGGCTGCTTGTCCTTTACAGGGGCAATAGGCCTACATCCCAGTCCCATCTGGAGCTGGATCTAAGTGTTTACCCAGGGCGAGACACTCCCCTGCTGGGCCTCACTGAGCAAACAGCCCAGACCTGCCCTGAGGGAGCTGCCAGAGCCTCAGGGAGCCACATAGTGGAGCACAGCCACCAAATCAGTCACTCATGGTCACCCACATTCTCACTCCTTGTTACAGTGTGACAGCCATGCCACCATCCTGATGTCCTGGCACAGTTCCACAAGGACACACACCATCTTGGTCTCACACATGTACAGCCCTATATGGGTACACATGCTTGGTCACACAGGTCACACACAGCACCAGTATGGGACTGCCAGATAAAATACAGGATGCCTAGTGAAATTGGAAAATCAGATAAGCAACGAATAACCTTGTACTATAAGTACATCCCAAACATTTGCTAAATCTGGCAACCTTACACCCAAGACACTGCCATACCCACATCCCCAAACCTCGAAGCGCCACGCAGTCACACACCAGTTCCCACACAGACCTCAGTTACTCGCGGCATTATGGGAATGCAGCCTTCAGGACCCTGATCACAGTGGTGTGGAAGTCATCGCAGGTGCACATGCGCACACCCAGATCTGCGCACACTCTCTCTAAAGAGGCGCTGGGCCAGAGTGAGCATTTTCATGCTCTTTTTGTCTCACTTTCGCAACAACCTTAGGTGGAAGTTCAGGCAGCAACCATTAGCCCCATTCTACAGATGAGAAAAATAAAGCCCAGCAAGAAAGAAAACCCTCCCTAGGTGTTGTGGCATGTGGTTTCCTGGGTATGGGAAGTCAAGCCAGGCCTGGGACCAGACTATGTCCCTGGGTAGGTCCAAGCTCCCAAGCAGGCCCACAGCACTCAGGCAGTCAAAGCCACCCAGAGAAGCTTCTTCCTCCAGGAACAATAATAGCCTGGGGGTGGGGAGTCTTGTGGGTGGACCTCTGACCTCTCCTGTCACCCAAAGAGTGATCTAGAGCTCCCCTCAGAGGTCTCTGTATTTCCAGGTGGTGGGAAATGTCCTAAGTCAGGGCGCTGAGGGTCCAGCTTTGAGACAAAGAAAAAACTAAAAGAAGGAAGTTGTGTGGGCTTCCAGAAAACAGGCCCTTATCCCAGGTCAGGAGCTCTTGCTCAGCCTGGTAGAAGGCAGCCTAGACAACCTTGTCCTTCCTGAAGACACACAAGAAGGCCCTACTTCCACCCAGCCTGGACACAGAGCCAAGCAGAGGGCCTGGGGTCAGGCAGATGGATCGGGTGTCTCTGACAGGAAACTCCAGGGCTTTTGGAAGACTGCATTGACCCAACAATCAAACTGAGTTCCTGCAGGCGGCAGTGCCCAAAACACATTGTCAGCAGTGGGACTTAGCATGCAGGGGCTGGAGGCTGGGGTGGCCATCTGGGCCTGGGGTCCTCCCTAAAGGCAGTCTCCATGGTTCTGCTTTGGGTCCTGCACCTCTCTAGGCCTGTTTTCTTGTCAAAGTAATGGTGCTCAGGAGGTCTCTCCACCAGGCTGAGTCAGGAGGGCTCTGTAAATTGTGAAGTCCTGTGTGGTGGGTTGTGGGGAGGGGTTCTGTCGTTTGACTTGTCCCCCAAGCCAAGTCTGGGGGTGTCCTGGGCAGCAGGACCCTGCAAGGCCCAGAGGGTAGCTCCCAGGGATCTGGGGTTCAGGGACTGGAGGATGGGGAGGGAAGGATGGAGAGGAGGCAGGGCAGATGGGGTGAAGTACCTTGCTCAGCAGTCTATAATGGCTTGGAAGCCAGGCTGTCTGGGTAGAAGCACTTTCTTAGTGTGTGATCTAGAACAAGTTACTTAACCTTTCTGTGTCTTAGCTGTCCCATTTCTAAGATTGCAGACTAATAAGATTTATGTCATTATAATGGGGATGAAGATGGTTAATGCAGGTGGAGTGCTTAGCACAGGCCTGGCACACAATGAGAGCTCAATAAATGACACAGCTGCCATCAGTCCTTGTCTCCTGAGACTCTTTCTCCCCAAGTCTGGAATCTGTCCCCAAGGCATAGCCTCTTTCCTACATCTTTGTTCCTGGAGACAGCACCCCACTCTCCTCCTGTCCTGGGTTAACCTGGAGCCTGGAGGGTTGAGAATTAAGCAGAGGTGGGTGTGATGACATCTGGTCCCCATCCCTCACCCCCAATTCCAAGAAGAACCCTTCGAGAGGCCTTCACTCACTGGCACTAGCTCCCTGCATCCATACAGCCCTCCTCAGTGTCCGACAGCTGGATACCAGGACAGCAGCAGGGCACAGGGAGCCTGGCCATGCCCAGCCAGATGGCAGCGCAGTACTGAGATGTCCATACTCCAGGGGTTGATTCCATGTGAATTGCTGGTATGGGTGGGATTCCCTACGGCCTCTGTCTGAGAATGGGGCTGAAAGCTCTGTCCTGGGTCAAGGTTCATTCTGGGGTCAAAATCCACCCCTGGGACAAGCCTCCCCAAGGCTCCACTTCCGTGGGGCACTGCTGTTCAGGGGACTCCTGCCAGCTCCTGCTTCCTGCCCTGAGTCCCAGGTGCCCTGGGTCAGCAGGCATCTCCACAGTCCCCCCCAGGGGAAGGGTGCCTCCTTCAGCACCTTCTAAATTTAGGGCTTTGGCTCTGTGACTCATTCCTGGATCTGCTTTGCTACCCTCCTCCAGGAATGTGCTCCCATGGTATTTTTATCCTCTGCTGCCTCAGACTGATTAATAAGGCTCCAGAATCCTGCAGCAGCCACACACACCAAAGAGAGCACCCCAGTCCCACTCGCTCCAGGCCAGCGCTGGGCTTCCCTCTGACCAGGTCCTACACTCCCTGCTCCTCCCCTTACCTCTCCACTTTCTTGACACCTCCCTCCCCACCAGAGCCCACCCAGGTGGCCACACTGGGGGTTGGCTCCAAGCAGGACTGTGGTGGCAGTGGGGGGAGGAGAGGCGGAACCAAACTCTCCTCCCTCCAATTCTGCTGCTGGGCAGAGCCCTCCCCTAAAGTCAGAAGGCTTAAATTCTGGACAAGACTCACTCCTACCTTACTATGGGGCTCTTGGTGAGTTCTGGGACTGTTTGGGCTTCTCTTTCCTCTTCTGTAAATAAGGGGTTTGAATCAGACTTCCACTAGGGAAGCTTGGACCAGAGTTGAAATTAACGCTGGGCTAGGACTCCAAATTCAAACAGGGTGGGCTGGGGGTGGGTTATCTGATGTTGGGCCCCGTCTCCCCTCCAGGCTCCCTGTTGCCCTCAGCCCCTGCCCTGTTCAAGGGAATCAAGGCCAAGAACCTGTTGTCAGCCTTCTTGGACTTCTGCCCTGAAGGGTGGAGGTCATGCAAAGGAAAAAGCCCAGGGTCTGGTCCGGTCTCACTGTGCAGAGCAGCTTTGGGAATCACCTTAACTCTTGGCCTCAGGGTCTGGGGAAGGGAACCATGTGCATGCAGAGGTGTAAACACTTCCCTGCCAGGCTCCTAGGGCCAGAGGAGGAGATGGGGACATGGGTCCCTTTGTCAACTTCTAGAAATGCAGTCACATAGGGGATGGTATGGAGGAATCTAGGAGTCAGGCAGACCTGGGCTGCTGTATCTCTGTCCCTTCCTGGCTCTAGGACAACCCCATCTGTAGCCTGTCTCAACCTGTGTCACGTATAACAGCAGTGGCTAACATGTATTGAGTGCTTACCATGTGCCTGGTGCTGTTCTCTGCACTTAACAGGTCTTAAGTCATTTAATTTATAGTTAAACCTCGAGACAGCTCTACATAAGGCTTACCACTTTACAGACGACTTGGGGTTCAGAGAAGGGCAGTGACTCACCCAGGGTCACAATGTTGTTACTGGAAGGGCTAGTTAAAAGCTAGGTCTGACTGCAATCCCAGCTTCTCTAAACTACCCCAAGGTCGATCTTCTCAGAGTATACATTAGACAGTAAATGTTTGATGAAGACGTTTGATCACTGCCATGTAATGGAAAGATCTCTATCCTAGTCCAGTTCTACTCCAACTCATTGTATGTCCTTAAGAGTTTCCTTTTCTTTCTTTAGCCTCAGTTTCCCCTTCTGAAAAACAGAAATAAGTGAAGGCCCAGAAAATTAGATACTTGGAGGTGGGGGTAGGGGGATCTTGGATTTCTATTTCTATAAATACCCGCTTTTCATGACTTGCCTGAGGAGGCCCAATCTGTAACCAAACCTCAGGGTCTCCCAGCGCCTCCCCCTATTCACCCCCAGAACCTCTAAGATCACTCCAGAGAGAAACAGCTTTACTCAGCCCAGCTCCACTGCTGCAAGGGACAGAGAAAAGTTCGCTTCCCTAGTGGGCAGCTGCATGATCCTGTGGGTGGCATGATTTGCCCATGATGCCACCTCGCTGCTCCACCTGGCTGGGGGTGGGGGTGGGAAGTGGCTCCTACAGCCTCAGCTAAAGGTACATCACTTTCTCTCATCTCCAGCTGCCACTGGCCTCAATTGGAGTTACCTGAGCACCCAGATCCTCCCAGGCTCAGAAACTGAGTCCAATGCTTCCCACTCCTTTCTATTCAGAATCTGTCCCCTAACGTTGCCCCTACATCTGTCACACCTGGGCTCTTTCCCTTACCTGGGAAGCAGGGTCTATACAGCTCCAGCAACACTGTTCTCTTCCTCCAGATCCTTCTCAGCTTCCTGACTCTGGTGGTCATCTCAACAGACCAAAGGCCTCCTCCAACAGGCTGAAGTGGAGTAAGAGAAGGATGGGGAACAGAGATTCCTCCAGGTCCTCAGGGTACAGTCAGTCTGTCTAGGCCTGTGTCCAACAAAGACACCGATCCTAGGGGTGCAAGGAAGGGCTCCAGGCCCAAAGGCAGGAGGGTTGGGCTTCGGCTGTTGCTCACAGACTGCTAAGACCTGGGGCAAGCCCCTGCCCCTCTTGAAGCCCTCAGTTTTGCAATTTATAGAATGAGGAAATGGGTCCCTCAATCTGCAATCACCTGACCATAATAATCTTTTGCCTTTATAGGCTGCTTTGAAATTTAGTTTTCACCACTGGACCTCATCTGATCCTCCCAACAACCTATTTCCATTTATAAATGAGAAAGCTTGGGCCGGCCCGGTGGCGCACTGCTACAGTGCGCCGTCTGGGAAGCGCGGCAGCGCTCCCGCC